CTGAGCCATATATGATAAATGGGTATGAGGCGACAGCCCGGGAATGGCATGGACTCCCTTCATCTCAGCCCACACACCTCATGGCTGAACCAACAACCGGATCACCGTACAAGCTTTCAAGTGACCCTGTTTACTATGCTCACTGTCGAAGATGGTGGGAACCTACACAGCAAAGTTCGGTGGAGTACCAATACGGTCTATTCGACGAGATGAACCGTCATCCCCAATGTGGCCTAGTGCAACCTCGTTAGATCGAGGGTACAAAGATGGCCATGGCGTTCATTCCCAGGTAGTGGTAGCCATTGCCCAGATAATGTTACCATAATGACGAGCCTGCGAGTTTCCGGCATGGTGAATGTCATGGAATGTTACGCTTGGACCGCTTTATATTTCCCTGGCACTCGTCTGAATTGATAGGAATTTACTAGACGGTCTACCTAATACCGTCAAAGAATGCATGTGCTTATAGCGACTTGAACTACGGAAGAAGTCTGCTAACTCTAAACAAGCTGTAGAGGGAGAGAGAACGTGTTAAGAGGTTTTTGTAGTGCTATTTTGTAATAAGCAATATATGACCATGGGAGCCCACAGACAACTTCGTAGACATGACAAAACTATGCTCCCTCTATCTCCCAAGCTCCTTTTGTTCACCATCCCTCCCTTCTTCCTCCCCAGGTTTGAACGCCACACCCATTCGAGGGCCATGATAGGTATTCATTCAAGATCTGAACCGGAGGGCAAGGACTCAAAGAGGTAGTTGTAGCTGCCAGCATCCAAGAAAGTCGGTGCGGTAGATATATTGCGAGAAAGAGTGACTAGACAGTACGCAGCACTTGGTTTGCTGGTCTTCAATTCGGCCTGGATGTAGTATGTTGGATTTTTTTTTTTTTGGTATTTCAAGCCAAAGCACCGCCCCAGGCCACAGTATAACAGCTTTGGGAGAGAATATGACGTAGATCGAAAGTAACGTAATTGAAAAGATATGTAAAAGAAGAAGATAACGAAACCCGACTCTGGTTGCTTGAGTCCTAGGAAGACTGGCGACGGGTGAGAAAGAGAAGCATAGGCTCGTTGGAGGCAGTAGCCCAGCCTACTGGAAGTCAGACTCGTCGATATCTGCCATAGCCTCTGCAAAGGCATCGGCAGAGCGCTTGACTTCGCTGCCGGCTTCGACAGCCCGCTTGATCTTGTTGCAAGGCTGACCAGGCAGGACACACCATCTCTGAAGGGTCTCGGGAGAGGCGTCTGCAATGGCTTCAGCCAAAGCATCGGCAGAGCGCTTGACTTCTCCGCTAGCATCAGCCGCACGCTTGATCATGTTGCATGGCTGGCCAGGGAGGTGACACCATCTCTGCAGGGCAGCAGCCTGCACAGTGGTGGCAGCAAGAGCGGCAAGGACAATAGAGACGAGCTTCATCTTTGCAGGAATGTGAGGGGGTTTTTTATTTTCTGAAAGTCAGATAAATTTGAACTTGAGGGAATGCTGTTTGAGCTTTGGCTTGACAGTTTGTATTTCTTTAAGACTGCCAAACACGAAGAACCAGAGCCTTTATATAGGTTACTAGTAGAACGCAGAAAGCCTGGGTCACCTCTGCCTTGCTGTGCATCAATGGAACATATCGCTATTGAAGCGGGTCCAGAGCCTGAGCTAGGAAAGAGAAGGTACTAGGGAGCAACAACATCCACCTGAATAAAGCACCAATTGACCAGGAGAGGCAACACATCGGTCAATAAAGTAGATACATGGTACATTCCCAATGTATTGAATGGCAAGGCAAGAGAAATGAGCCAGAGATTCAATTGACATTGCCACCAATAGAGACAGAATATTGGAATATGACTATTCGCTTGGTGTTAGCTACCGGCTTCAATAAGGAATAGAAAGGAAGTAGACTGTATAGTAAGGTCGCGTGGGAAGGGGAAAGAGAGAGACCCAGGGGTCCGAATCAGAGATCTTTCTTTATCCATCGTCCACGATGCTCTCTACAACCTCATATTCAGTAAGATCGCAGGCTTTCCAAAACTGGGTGTCAATAACACTCAGGCCTAATGAGGTGGTCAAAATATCAAGTTTCCCTTGTTCTGCCAATAAGGCAAAGTATGACCAGATTCAGCTATCAATAAGCTATTGAGTACTTTGACCTTGATGAACATGGGGTGGTTGTTGTGAACAAAGCACCCGCTCTACTTCCGCAAATCGGATGTTTTGAGACCCTCGACGAGGACCGGCATGTGGCGGGTCAGCCGTGGTTGCTGGCTGTTTCTTAATCATTACGTACTTTCTTGGGGACGTTTCCCTCTTGACATGAACAGAGAAAAGCAAGAATAAGATCATGTGGTCGTACATCCGTTCTCCCCTGTGAGAATGTACAGTAGAAGGTAGAGGATCCTTGTACGTCTGTATAATGGACTGGAACCATTAAGTCGAAATGCTGGTCGGGGGCGGTGATAGAGAGATAAGATCGGCCCGCGTGAGTAGTAAGTTAGTTTTGGTTGTCCGACATGTTCTTGAGTGGATGCCGAGACGATCCGCCGTTTTTTCCGGTGTCTCGTGCATCGCTGGCTTTAGGTCTTTTCTCGCCGTCTCCGGTTCCGTCTTTGTCTTTCCTCCCTCTCCCTCCTCTCTCTCTTTTTGCTCTCCCGTCCGCACGTTTTTGGGTCCCCTCTCCTCTCCTCCTCCTTTTCGGTCCGTTCAATCTTATTGTCCGTTTTTCTCGACCCCTTTGTCCATCAAAATGTTCTCTCTGCGGACGGCGCAACCCGCGCAGGTAAGTGGATGGTTCCTTGCTTTTTGACCGATCAATTCCTTTGTCCGACCCGACTTCGCTCGAATCCTTGCCCTTACTTCTCTCCCACCGCCGTCCGCTACATCCTTTCGCCCGGCTGAATTAGAGAGGAACGCTTGGGCGCACTTGGAATACGAACTCTCATATACTTTGCTCAATTGCCTTTTCGTTGACGATCTACGTTTTTGGTGGTTTCCGATTCCCTCTAACGCGGTTATGCTTGGCAGTCTTTGCTCCGTCGCGTTGCGGCGCCGACTTCCTTCCGTTCCTCCATCCCGGCAAGATGTGCGTCAACCTTCTCAATCGCGTGCAATACCGTCCTGCTAGAGACATAATGGTTTATTGACTCTATAACCCAAGCCTTTGCTAGCGTCCAGTCCGATATCTTCAAGCCCACTAAGTATGGCGGCAAATACACCGTCACTCTCATCCCAGGTACCTACACCCGCCTCTTCCTCAACTTGATCAGTTTGCTGATGCCTCGGTGATTCGCTTTCATAAAGGTGACGGAATCGGTGCCGAGGTTGCTGAGTCGGTCAAGACTATCTTCAAGGCCGACAATGTTCCCATCGAGTGGGAGCAGGTAGATGTTAGCGGTGTTGACACCGGTAACAAGCACTCGGAAGAGCTTTTCAAGGAGTCCATTGCTTCTCTGCGCCGTAACAAGCTGGGTCTGAAGGGTATCCTCTTTACCCCAGTTGAGCGCTCCGGCCACCAGTCGTTCAACGTTGCTCTCCGTCAGGAGCTCGATATTTTCGCCTCGATCGTCCTCATCAAGAACATCCCCGGCTACAAGACCCGTCACGAGAATGTTGATCTTTGCATTATCCGTGAGAACACCGAAGGTGAATACTCTGGTCTCGAACACCAGTCCGTGCAGGGTGTTGTGGAGTCCCTGAAGATTATCACTCGCGCCAAATCCGAGCGCATTGCCAAGTTCGCCTTTGGTTTCGCTCTTGCCAACAACCGCAAGAAGGTTACCTGCATCCACAAGGCCAACATCATGAAGCTTGCGGATGGCCTTTTCCGCAGCACCTTCCACAAGGTCGCCGAGAACTACCCGACTTTGGAGGTTAACGACATGATCGTCGACAACGCCTCCATGCAGGCTGTTTCTCGCCCCCAGCAGTTCGACGTTATGGTTATGCCCAACCTGTACGGTGGCATTCTCTCCAACATTGGGTCTGCCCTTGTGGGTGGACCTGGTGTTGTCCCTGGTTGCAACATGGGCCGTGACGTTGCTGTGTTCGAGCCAGGCTGCCGTCACGTTGGTCTTGACATCAAGGGCAAGGACCAGGCGAACCCTAGCGCTATGATCCTTTCTGGATCTATGCTTCTGCGCCACCTGGGATTGGACGACCATGCCAACCGCATCTCCAAGGCCGTCTATGATGTGATCGGTGAGGGGTGAGTTTCAGACTTTCATTTCAACCTTTTAGCTTAGTTCAGAGCTGTCGCTAATGCGTAATTTCCCTAGTAAAACGAGGACCCGCGACATGGGCGGACAGGCTACCACCCACGAGTTCACCAGGGCAGTCCTGGACAAGATGGAGGCTGCTCTGTAAATTATTACCCACTTGAAAACCGACCTCCCACCTTGCATGTGGTACCTGCTACAATTATGATGATGAGAGCTTGTATAGGCCAGTGAAATGTTTTTATTTCTATCTGTAGACCAAGCCTGGCCTTTCTGACTGTCTCTATAATTTGTACCCCCTTTCACTCCATCTGACACAACGACGCGCGGCGTCGGACACATGATTGTGTGCTATGGCGCGTAAAACTGTACACAAACGTTTGAATTTGAAAGCGTGTCTCTTCAACATCCGGACTGCTTAGCAAAGATCCCAGTAGACCAACGACAACTGAGGAATCCAGTATTCAGTAGATACGAACCCCAGCGGCCTGACATTGGCGGGAATGCCATCTCCCTTGGGATAGTCTTGGCTTGCCCAGAGGCAAAGAAACGGCGCAAAGAAACCTCCAAATGGGAGAAAACTCAAGTGGTATGCAAACGTGAAAATTATAGCCGCGTACCGGTTGCCGAGCCCTACTCTAGCTCTCCAGCAAAGGCCGACACCGGAACGCTGGATCCTTCTCAGTGGTAATTGACCGGCACAGGGAAATCCGCCTATGATAGAACGATCTGTACCGGGGTGAGGATGTGACCGGGGATTATAATAAGGGCATAGTGAGCGCGCTGTACAAGAGAAATCAGAAGGCGGGACGTCGTTTTCTGCCGGTATATTTCGAATTCGCCTTCACAACCTTGCCTTTCCGGGTCATCTGTTCCTTTTTGCGTAGAATCCAGGCCTTGTCACCCTTCCTGGATGATGCTTGTTTGCCACGCTCCATAGCCCTTTTCCGGGCGTCCAAGACATCCACGTCGTTCATGCCATCAACAACACCGGTGATGTCACCTTGTAATCCACCTCCTCCAACGGTGAGCACGAGGTAGAGTTTGCTGTTCTTTGTACCCGGGTCATCCTCCAGTATACCAGCTCCAAAGCCGGCCTTCATGGCAGCCCCACTGATCATGCTCCGCTGAGCGTCGTTCTTTGGATAAAATTGGCAAACTGCGCGACCACCACGCCGCAGGCTAGCATAGAGGCCCTCGAAGAAGCGACGAAGACGGTACTCCGGGCTAACATCACTAGACTCCGCATTGCAGAGCCATTGGATAGCACTGATACTGATGGCTGCATCGAAACTTCCTGGCCGGAACGGTACTCCTTGCCCGATGTCAGCCAGGAAGAGATCGCCATCGACACCGCGCTGGAGGGCAACATCGAGCATGCTAGGTGAAATGTCCATGCCGATCCAGGTATGCGGGCCTCCGTCTTCGGGTGCCACCTGGGAAAGAATCTCGCCGGAGAGACCAGAGCCGCAGCCAAGATCAAGGATCAAAGAAGGTGTTTTCAAGTCTAGGAGGTCGAGTGCCCGATGGGTCATGTCGGACTGAATGTTACGGATACGAGACGAGGTGGTATATTTTCGGGACTCATTATCATCATAGAATAGATCCGGAGGCCTTGAATAGTAGCACTGTGTTAGTGATATATGGGCTACTGAATCTCCTCGTAATCCACGAAGGGGTCACCTACAAGACATCTTCAGGACGCGACATGTTTGCGATCAAGTCCCTAAGTGTTTCGGGCGGTTAGAGAAGCAGAGCGATGTTGAGGTTTGAAAGAGAGGGGGGAAGTCATTCATACCTCTCACTATTTTATTTTTTTTTTCGGGGGGGAACCTACTTTCGTCGGGCGGAGTGTAGCCGCGGGGGCTTGGCATGCGGTGCGGTGGTGCACTTTCTTATAGCCTGAGGCACCAAGGACGGTCCAGATCGGCCAACTGATTGCTCTTGTTACATCTTGCCAACTATCCGATGCTTGATGTTACTACGCCCGTGCCTATCGATTTGAACCGGTCCGCAGCGCCCTCGCCCTCGACTTCTACATAATGTGGATTCTACCCTTGGTAGGGTATTTGGGGGTTATTGTAGGGTTCGCTTTCCTTACGTTAGCGATAGGTACGATATGCCCGCAATGCGCGCGATGATGATGACGACGATTGGTCTTGCTCTCGTCACCATAGACTGGAGAACGAGATGCCGAGCTCACATGGCTTGTGATGCTATTTGTATTCATTAGACTGACCTGTCTCTAGCCTCCGGTCTTTACTACCTCTCGGAGCTTGTGGAGGAGCATACAGTTCTCGCCCGTCGGCTGTTGTACCGGCTGATATACAGTATCATCGCCGTTCAGATCCTTCTCTACTTATTTGACCGATTTCCTTTCTCCTTGACCGTCCTCAGTATTGGCTCGCATATCGTATATGCCAGCAATCTCCGCCGATTCCCCATAGTCAAGTTGTCCGACCCTCTCTTCATCCTATCATGCGGGCTCGTCGGGTTGAATCATTGGCTTTGGTTTCGCCACTTTTCACAGCCATTGCCTTCATCGCGTGGCGCTAGCAGCTGGCGCCAACCATATCAGGTTAACGTGGAGGATATGCCAACCTTCACAGAGGTTGCGTCTTATTTTGGACTCTGTGTCTGGCTGGTTCCATTCGCGCTCTTCGTCAGCCTCAGCGCGGGCGATAATGTCTTGCCTACCATGGGCTCCGAGTATGCCACAGGCGACCGCGTGCCTACTTCGGGTTTCACCCCAGGTACATTTGCGTCCGACGGAAAGTCCAAGAACAAGGGAATGGCCAAGGCCCTGGTGGATGGCGTGCGGGACTGGGTTAAAGATAACGGGGAATTGATGGGTTTCTGGAAGGGTGAACGGGCAAAAGGCTTTTAGGGACGAGATTATTTTCTGCTCTAGGCCTTTGTACTAACATCATCTTGTCGGATACCCTTGGCGTTCTGCTCTCGGATCAATTTCCTACGGGCTCTCAGTGAATGGCTGGAGGCAAGCCTTCATGAGGTACCCACTAGCAGTTACCTGTTCTGGTGGAGTTGTCTTATTTATACTAGCTATATAGGCTAAAGAAACAAACCAATGTGAATCCGCAGTTCTCAAAGTGTAGCATATGCACAGGCCAAAACCAAAGGACGAAATCATAAGGCGTGAGGGTATATTGTTAGGCATGCCTCCTTCCAGTAGGGTTCACGGTGTGTACAATCCAATAATAAGTATCACAGTGTGCTGCGTGTCAACTCCGGACTGCAACAGGCAAGGACAGGGAAGATAATTAGAAACAGAGGATACTCCAGTATTATTAGTAGTATTAAGAGTACCCCGTAGTCCTCGGCTAATTGTAGCAGAAGTACAATGTGGTCGTTTCACATTCGTTTGGATCGTCGAGCTCGGTCGTGACAAAGGAGCCATACTGCAACATATCTGAAAGTCTCAATGACAACAGGCGAATCTTGGCGCGGGGAAGGAAGATATGTAAAGAAGAAACAAGAAACAGTAAGTAAGCTTGAGGCTAAAAGGAATTCATGATAACACAACGCTGAATATGACGTAAGAGCCCATTGGAGCACGCCATAATCGTAATTATTCACATACAAGCTGCGTCAAACTTTGAAGAGTCAGCGGATGATATTGATTGGTAAGCTTGAGGAAGAACCCATACCGTTTTCACCATGGAGCGATGCAGGAAAGTCCTGATGGTTGACTTCCATGAACAAGAGAGAGCTCTCCCTCCTCTTCGCCTTAGCCGAACGAGAGTTGTCAATATTCGGCGACAACATCCTGTTCAAGGACGGCGAGCTTGAATGGCCAATGGTATATTCGTCCGGCCCACTTCCAGTAGAACGGTCATGACTGTTGGATACAGAGCCTTTACTATTCTGCAGGTAAAAGCCATCCATGCCGCCTGAATGTTCACCGAATGTAGTCTGACCATAACCTGGCGTGGATGCCTCCGGAGCAACCTGACGAATGGGGTACCGGAATTCTTCATGGGAAGGAGAATAATTGACATCCGACTCCAACGTTTCAGCAGGAGTCTTGAGCACCCCATCAAAGATGTCCTCGAAGTCGGTGAGGAACATTGAGAAGACGGGCGCTGGGATGTTCAAGGTAGGAGCAAAGACAATACCAACGTTTCTGATAGTCATCTTATTGACATCAGAGTTGTTTACAATAACAATCAAGAACTGGACCAACGCTCGCAGCAAGGCCAGGTTTGGCTGAGGGAGTCGGTGAACAAGGTGATTGAAAGCGGCGATCTTCTTTTGTTTTTCATGAAGTTCTATAAAGGTGTGTTAGTAATGGAATAAACCGTACAGTGTGAGTACTTACCGAGTACCCGCAAGAACTCTAGATGAAGTTCGCGGGTCAAAACCGTGGTGGGAAGTTCACGTAGGTATTGCTTGAAAAGGGAGGCGACGGCATGTACATCATGATACTGGTCATCTGCGAGAAAGTCCACATCGCCTTCAGTGTTGAACCTCTCCTTTAGTGCCTTGACAACAAGATTCGACCCGCTCAACCGGAAGATTCCTTCCTCTGACTCAGCACCTCTAGCTCTGAGATATTCTATGCAACGATATACAACCGCAGGTAAATCAGCGTCTATTCCTTGTGGTGCGCAAAATTGTACGGCTTCAGCCAAGGGCAAGCCAAACACTGGCCGGACGAACTCTCGCTTCTCAATATTGTTCTGCACGGGAGCCAGCGAGGAATCATGGCAAGCCTGGAGCTGAGTAGCAAGGTCAACAGACGACCTTGTGCGGAAACCCCAAATACTGCGTTTCTTTTCCTTAACGCTCGTAGCTGCTTTGTTGCCCCAAGCTCCCGCGTCCTGGATTATAGCTCCATTGGTAGGGCCGGAGATGAGCCTAGATGAAGACTGACCATGGTCTGGACCGGAATCTGCAGTATCGACTGAAGGTCCTGTAGAGGCTATCGGGGACTTGGGGATCTGTCGATCAAACGATGGCCCAAGGACAGGTGGCTCGGCAGGAACAGCATCATCGTAACTGAAGCCCTGAACTGCAGCATCAGCGCCTTCAGTGTCTGGATTGTCGATTCCTTTGTCTGTCTTCTTTCCGCCATTCGAGAATAGTTTCGGTTTGGCAGCAGAACTAGTCTGCTGTTTTCCGGTTGCTGATGGCAGCGACTTTGCAGGACTATTGAGGCCATCGTTCTCTGACTGACCATCAACATATTCAAGAAGTGCGTCCACCCAGGTATCTCTTTCTTCGTCACTCTCAGCACACAGAACATGGCGAACAAGAGCTGACGAGTCCTTGCGCTTGGGCTCCAAAATGAGGAAAGCATGGCGATACTGGTTGTCGGAGTCCTCCTCGGTGTGGGACGGTGAGCTGTTCCGACCGCTTGCATTCTGCGATTGCTTGCCAATTTGCGCGTTGTACAGTTTGATCGTACCAAGATGAGGACCGCCTGGAGACTCGAAATATTTTAGCTCGGGGCTATGCAAGACGAAATATCGTGCTTTCCAGCCGCCGAAGTTCTTTCCTCGTTTTGTTAGATATCCCTCCTTCCTCGGTTTACCATCTGGTCCACGTAAGATTTCGGCACCAGCTTGGTGATTACCTCTCAGTAGACTCATCTCATCATCTCGGGGTTCAATGGCATCTGATGTAAGGAATTGACATATGACCAACGCCGCCTTGTCGTCCATCGGGGTATCAAGGAGAGCTTCAAAGTAGGCATTCAAAGCGGCACGTCTAGTGTCAACTTTGGCGGGAGAATGTCCGCTAAAAATGGACCGTTCAGGCAACTTTCCTCCAAAAGACGACAATTGTCGCATCTGTTGATCAAGTTGAGGAAGAGCAGCGATAACCTTTTCAGTGCGCCAAAGCTCCATGTTTTCGGATCTTGAAAATATGCCCAACGTAAATACAGGTTCTTCCTCCGATTGCCTAGAAGCCATATAGCTATTTCTGGACGGCCGAAGTCGTGATGACGATACTTTGACATGTATTGAAGGGAGGGCATTTGGTGGCAGCAGGAGGTTTGGATATTCATCCGATACAAGACCTTGATATATCCCGTTATTCCTCACGACTGGTTCTTGTGGGCTGTCAATCTTAACTGCCGCATCGATTGATGGAATAGGCCGATTGTGAGCATCGACTGACATGGAAGAATATGCAGAACTGCTTGGAATTAAATTAGAAGGGGTCCCTGTAGAAAAAGGATTCTGATGCTGGCCAGTGCGCGGCGACAGTGCCAATCCGGAAAGGTTACTCTCAGACGACATGGGCAAAGACGATAGAGCACCAGGAATTTCCCTGGGTAAGCGCGGCAACGGAGAACCCAGCGGGCGGTCCTCGGGCCTTGGGCTGACTGGCAAACCGGGACTCTTTGGAATACTGATGCTAGGAAGGTCGCCAAGTGGTCCATTATGTCTCGTACGGGGACTAGACGCGGATGATCCTGAATGGTCAATCGAAGGCTGTGCTTGTCGCGGGCTTGACAGCGATTCCACAGCCGCCAAACTATGTAAATTGCTTCCTTGGCTTCCAGGGTCCTGTAGGGTCTCTTGGTCTCTGTTGAGAGCGGCCTCGCGTTCTCGATCGTCATCATCCCTCGTCCTTCTCCTCCCGCGCTCCATTGGCAACTCATCCGCAGCCAATATATCCTCATACTCAGAGTCAGAGTCATATATATCAGGTTCTGTTGATGTATCTTTCTGGGAAAGATT